GAGGTGGATAACCAGTGCACAGGCTTTCCTGAGGTGGATAACCAGTGTGCAGGCTTTCCTGAGGTGGATAACCAGTGCTCAGGCTTTTCTGACTCCACAATGAGCAGATGTTCAGTGTAAACCCTGTAGAAAGCCAGTCTCTACTCACTCTTACCCACCTTCCTTTCTCCTTTCTATCCCCTTTCCCAATCCTTCCTCCGTTCATGCCTCTGTCACTCTATAGAGAATACATTTCTTTCAGTTTGAGCTCCTAAACCCATCCTCAGTCCACCCTCTTCTCTTGACTTCAGTACTGTCACTCATGTTAAAGGTAGCTCCTTCAATAGCCATCGAACTGTTCCACCTTGAGTCTATCCTGGACCTATTCAGTGTATCTCACACCGTACAGCTGTGTAGTTTTCAAAGGACACAGACCCAGTCACAGGACACTACACCACATCACACCACACCATACACCACACACAGAGCTGCATGGGGAAATGTCTTCCCTTTGCTCCTAGGATAAAGATAAACCTCACTGGTGAGACAACTCCCTGTACCATCTGGATCCCCCACCTCAGTTTGCTAGAATGTCACATGACACTCTCCTTTTCTGCACCCTAGCCACACGGGTCTTCTCTCAGCTGCACTGGTTTGGCTGTAAAATGTACATGCACACACACACTCGCACACATACTCACACACAGAGACACACACAAACACACATATGCACACACCACACACACACATGCACATACCACACACAGACACACATGCACATACATGGACACACATACATACACATCATGCATACACACACACACACCACACACATGCGTACACATTTGTACCCCTCCAAACATGCACACACACACACCATGCACACATGTGCACACACCACACAAGTGTATGCACACACAGATACACATACCATGCACACAGAGACACACACATACACACATATCACACACATACAGGCACATACATGCACACACACACATACAAACAAACTCAAGTCTAACACTTGGTCCTCAGCTGAAGGCACTGTTCTGAGAACTGTGGAACTTTTTAGATGAGGGGCATAGCCAGAGGAAATGGGTCACTGGGGATGGGCTTTGGGGAATGACTCAGACCCAGGTGAAAGCCAATTTTCCCAGGCCTCCAGCCTTGCTCCCTCTACATCAGGGGCTGGAGGGCATTCCCCACTGCTGTGACTACATCTCCTCAAGCCTACCCTCTCCTAAGCCGCTTCAGCTAGGTTGTTTTTACCACAGTAATGAGCAGTGACTCTCTTCACCCATGTTCTCTGCAGCCATGCTGTCTCCAGAAGGAAAGATTCTGGGTCCACTCATATCCCATGAGGTGACTGGACAATGACACCTGCTTAAGTACATGGGAAACTGTCTTTGAGTGTCTCTAAACACAGTGTGCGGAGGGGACCAAGCTCCCTAGAGCTGAGGCGTCAATCTGAGGCCAGTCAGAATGTAAGGTGGGCCCCGGGGCCCTCCATCCTCGTAGGCTGGTCCATGGCTGCTGGTAGGAGCCTCTTACACCA